GTTTGAAGAACTGACTTTCACCTTTACGCTAGCACATTTATTATTTTTTATTTTAATCTTAGACGGATTAATTTTTACAAAATAAGGTCTACTTAGGCAATTAAATAGGACTATGCAGACAAGCTTAAGCCTAATAGTATTAATTAGGTTAGCCTCCTCCCCCAAAAAAGTAAAATATATAAAGATAATTTTATGATAAATTTTTCAATGTTAGTAATAGTATTGTTAGGGTTAACTGTTAGGTCTTTTGAGGTTGCTTCAGAGCTATTTTAAGGTAACGAATATATTATTATTATTGATATAGGCCTACTTTTTTCACATTTTAAATTGTTCATTGTTATGCTAGTGGATGAAAGTAAAAGCTAGCCTAAAGTTAGTCCTAAGTAAATAGTAATAATTCTCAGAATGACTTAAGCCTAAGCCCCCCCCCCCCCAGACACGATTTAAGGGCATTAGTTCTAAATTAAGTTACAATGAATTTTATCTTAGAATATAGACTAGTTTTTCTCGTTAATAGCACTTTGTGGTTTAAAGTGTGTAAGATACGTCAAAATGACTGTGTAGGACGAATTTAAATTAGCATTCTTAGATATTTTTTGTTATTTACTGCTAGAAAAATTATAGGCCTAATATGGCATACTTAATGTTTTACACACCTAGGCCTAACGCTATTGTTCTGGGAAGAAGATCGAAAAACTACGACAAACGTTTATTTCAAGACCAGTTATACTATTTATAGGGAGTCTAGGTGCATTTACCCTTAGAAGGTTCTCACATACACACATATATATGTGTGTGTGTGTGTTTGTATATATTAGGAACTTGTATTTATACAAGTTTTAATCTATTTAACAGACTTACAATATAAGCCTACTATCCTGGCGACCTAAATTCGATTCGTCATAGGCCTAGATCTAAGATTTATCTCATAGACCAAAAATTCTTTAATCATTTTATACTAGTTTTTCCCTTTCAAACGTAATATTAACTTGATTATAATTTGTGTCACAGCATTCCAAGATTATTTACTTTCACAATCACACACTTTATGAGTATTATAAGTTAGATATTTTATATATCATCATTCAACATCCCAGTATACAGCAAAACGGCTTATTCCAGGTATCAGCTACAATTTCAAATAACTCTTTTCTCCGCAAATAATACACAAAAAGTATAGTTATGTTAGGCTTCTTAAGGTTTCCCTTTCCTCTCTCCCCGAGGTTTTCGTAAAATGGTACCGCTTTACAGTCTTAACAGTATCAAGATTTACACCAAAGTAATGAGAGGTAAAATCAAATACAAACCTTTGATCAGAAGTTTCTGCACTTATGCTTGATTATTATTTGTTGGATTAATTTTCGTAAAAGATATTTCGTGATGGAATAATTTCTGTTAAGTTTGATTTCTTATATTTTTCCAGTGTAAAGATTACTTAGACGCATTTTGCGATAGTTATATTTTGAAAGTGTTAATAGTTAAATTAATGGAACTTTAATCAGTTATAAAGAACGTTTTTATTGGTGAACTCGAGAAATTGAAAATCCTCAAACAACCTTTCGATTGTTAAACAGGTTTGACAATGTTTCTATACTTCGTGTAATAACTCCACTTCAATTTCGTAATTGCACTACTTATAGAGTCAAGGCGTAGTTATGTATGTTAGTTTTGTTTCAAGGTTAGTATTTTGGCTATTTTCGTCTTGTCTGGTAAAATATTACTATCATTTGTTAAGTAGATAGGTGTGTGGTTTGAAAAATCTGGCAGTATTTAAATAATTATATTAGATTTTTTATGCATTCCGCTATATGGATAACTTTCAAAAGTTTAATTGTATCAGTTTTCACAGTGAGCATTACATAATACACATTTGTTTATATTAGGAAACTTGTAAGTGTATTATTTCTCCATGGAAATACACTATATGCTGTGTTCTTCGTGATCCGGTCACTCAGATCGTGTCTAATGTTGTACTGATGAATTATTTATCAAGTAAAATCTGTTAGAATTTTGTTTAAAAGTTTTGTTTTTTCACATGCTAAAACATTTGTAGATTACTTCTGCTACAGAAAAGCAACCAAACACATTGTACAGCTTAAAAGTACCTGAAACATGGAGGATTATTAAAAAGTGAAATATACAAATATATTACAAAACTAAACTGTAACTGACAAACTGAAAGACACAAGTATGACTAATTCTTTAATTTAATGATTCAAGGTGGATTTATTGTTTAATTAGCATAATTGGTGGAACTACAGATGAAGGTTTGAAAAGGAAGCATTGAGCTAATAAAATAATTTTAGATGTGTGAAGTTTCGTTTGAATTTCGCGCAAAGCTACTCAAGGGATATCTGGACTAGCTGTTCCTAATTTAGCAGTGACTAGACCACCCGTGACCTGTTAGGTCACCCACTATTCAGAGGTTAT